CAGCAGGTATTTTAGATTGCACTGATCTTTGAGATTGTTACTTAAAGATGAACAACATACCCTGCTGAAACGTTAGAGCCATAAGTTTCGTGCGAATATTTAGGTATGTGTTACAGTTGGTGGGCCTGAAAACAAGTGGTGCTGCAGGACACTAATAAGAACACAGAGTTCTTACTGCAGAAAGAGTGCCAGTTCCTGCAGCCACTGCTCCTGAGAGCAGTCCTCTTGACATGAGCAGTTGCGAACAGAGTACCAGGTTTATCTGCGTGAAGAACTGCAAGTGTGGCCTGCGTGAGAGTGCAATTGCACTTTCCAGCAGTGAGAATCTGCTTTTGCTGCAATGGATTTTGGTGTCAAGAAGCTTCACTGAGTTCAGTAGGCAGCATGTATCTGTGCCTGGGACACAGTCAGTGCAGAAGCCTTGTAGTCTGCCATTTTTTTTTTCCTGCTGCAAAAGAATATGAGAGAACGAGAACCAAATCACTCTGAGAAGGCTCCTGTAAATGTGAAACAGGAAGAGGGTTTAGGCTATGTATGCCAATTCTAGGCTCATTACAAGAAGGAAATCTGTCCAAACCATTATTGATTTTATGTTAGCTGACCTGGAATGAAAAGCAAGCTGAATAAAACCTCTTTGGAATATCAAAAGCCACAAGATATCAGAGCTTAATGAATAGCAAATCATTGCAAACACACACACAAAAAAACCCCCAAACCAATACTTTTTTTTTGTCAGCTCTTTTGGCTAGGAGCTGGAAGATTTCTCACCCCACACATGCCTATATGCTATAGTTATTAATGGCTTGTCATTTTGTGGGGGACAGTATGTACTGGAATGCATTGTCCTTCCATTCTTCCATTTTGGGGATGCTGAAGTGAATATTCTTTTGGGTCACCAGTAATGTAAGTTTAGTTTTCTTAGCCTTGCCCCAAAGGGAGCCTACATTCCCATTTTACTTTTCCATCATTCTAAAAAAATTATAAAACAGTAACTAGCAGTTATATAACACCATCTCCTAGCGTTTTGTCAACAGTAGTACAATGATTTTCTGTGTATAAACATGGTAAAGAAAAGACTGTGGAAGGGAAAACAGAGGCTTTCAAAGGGGGAGAGGGCCAGGAGAGGTACAAAATGAGCGGGCTTGGCTGGACTGGGTCATGTTGGAACTCAGTGATCTTTAAGGTCCCTTCCAACCCAAACCATTCTATGATTCTATGTAAAATGTGAGATCGCAGGGAGGGAGGGAAGGGAAGAAAGAGATGTCACCACCAGAAAGTGGTGTCCTTTCTGGTCTCTTGCATGGCTCTTGGTGTCTCTGGAGGCAAGGGCTGTATGCCAGTATCTGTGCACTGTGACCTGTCTGGTGGGATCACTGAACACAGAGAGAAAGTTAATGCTGCTTTGAGCAGCACGAACAAATCTCTCGTTTGGGTGCCTTTTTTTTTTTTTTTTTTGAGGTGGGGGTGGGGAGGGGTGCTCTGTAAGGAGAAAATGGCATTTCTGCTGGCTATTCCCT